ATTTAACAATTCACACCCATTTCCTATTTTTTGTTAGTTTTCTGTTTCCCATATAAACATGAATACTAAAGCAACTAACGAGCATCCAACAAGGCAAACATATCATTAGATTCACAAAATCAGGCCGAAATAAAGTAAACAGTGATTCATGCATTTAAAACCATATAATAAATAAATCAGATACCATACTGCATTTAAACTGTAAAATAAATCAAATAGGAACTGACAGAGAAAAATATCCGGTTCGGGCTCCATTAGCAACCGTAATAGATTACACATATCTATTTAATTTATACAAATACAAATTTATCATTTATTAGACTCTAATCCCGTGATAGAAAATAGGATGAGGGGTCCTTACCTAATTAGAAGTCGAAAACCAGATTTTCATTACGCCTACGGGCAGTCCCTGGATTCCTTGAATTTTTCTTCTGGAACTGAAACACGCTTATCTTACCTACACATGTCCCAAATAACTCAAAAATCAGACCCAATCCCTATTCGGCCAATTTCAGAATTTCGATACGGCGGCTCCGCCGTGCTACGGCGACGGCGCTGCCGTGAGCGGCGGTGATCCGCCTCGGGTTGGCTGTTTCTGGCCGTTTTCGGCCATATTCAGCCAAACTTGCATTGGTTCCTGTGAGAAAACACCTGTAGGGTCCTCGATGGGCCAAAAAAACACCGAAAACCAAAACTTACCGGCGGCGGAATTCTCCGGTGTGGTGGCTCCTCCGGCTCGAGTCGTGATTTGGTGTTTTACTCCGGTAAACCTGTAGAGGAGGGAACGATGGTCACAATGGTGGAAAAATTACATCGAACGGGAATCGAAAAGGGCCTCATCGGAGGCAAAAATTGAGAAAACTCGCGACAGCACCGCTAGGCTTCGTCGGCATTTTTCGCCCAATTGGCTGGTGTTTTTCCTCTGATTTGGCCATATGCGGGTTCAACATCGAATTCTGAGCCAATGAGAGAATTTTTACCTCGTTTGGCTGTCGAAAATTGCTCTGTTGCGGCGGCGGGTGGCGGCGGTCGGCTCCCTGGCGACTGGGCTGTCTTCTCCGGCGAGGGGCTCTGGCGGCTAAGGTTAGGGTTTGGGTACGGATGAGATTATTTATAATAATCCGCTTTTAATATGAGTCGTCCATCGCGATTCAATCTGGACATTCCGATCGCGATTAAATAGGAAATGAATCTGGACCGTTCATCGCGATGCAATCTGAGCCGTCCGTATGCGATTCAATCTGGGCTTTCCTTGCACGTGCAATCTGGGCCGTCCGTGCGCGTGCAATCTGGGCTGTCCGTGCGCGTTTTTGATTTGGGCCGTCCGTGTGCACGGGAACGGATCTCAGCCGTTCGATCGCGCACACGCAAATTGCCTACGTGGCTCCTTTCTGCGTAGCCTCCCGTGTCAGTGTCTCTGCCACGCGACGTGTCCTGGTTGGGCCGGGGTTGCTGGCGTGACATAATTTTTCTAAATTACGTTTTAATCTCTGATTTTTAATTTTCTTTTCAAAATACTCCCAAAACCTAAATTTTCACCCCTTTTTTCCAAAATTATTTTAAATTAAATCTCTAAATAATTTTACCCCTTTTATTATTATTATTATTATTAATTCTGTTTAAATAAATTAAATTAAATTAAAACCATATATTATTACATAATAAATCATTATATTATATAATAATTACAAAAATTAAAATAAAATAATAATAATAAAAGAAAAGGGTTGGGGTGTTACAACTCTCCCCCCCTTAAAGAAATTTGGTCCCTCAAATTTGCCTCTTACTCTTGATCGAACAAATAGGGGTACTGGGCCCTAAAGTCTGATTCTATCTCCCATGTAGCCTCCCTTGGTGTGTGATTTTGCCATACGACCTTTACAAATGATATTTTTCGATTGCAGAGCAATCTACTCTTTCGATCCGTAATGCCAACTGGTACTTCCTCATATGATAAGTCCTCTTGGAGTGGGAGGGGTTCGTGGGCCAAGACATGAGAGGGGTCCGGGTTGTACTTGCGTAACATGGACACATGAAATACAATGTGGACCTTGAAAAACTTTGGAGGTAGTGCTAGTCTGTAGGCGGCAATACCAATCCTGTCTAAGACTTCGAATGGTCCAATGAATCAGGAGTTCAATTTTTTTCTCTTGCCAAACCTACTAATTTTCTTGAAAGGAGTGACCTTGAGGAACACCCGGTTGCCTTTCTTAAACGCTAAATCTCTCCTCCGAGTGTCCGCGTAACTCTTCTGTCTGCTCTAAGTCGTCTGAATGTTCCTTTTGATCTTAACTATTTTGGATGTGGTCTCCTCTACCAGCTCTGGGCCGAACAATTTTCTATCACCCACTTTTTCCTAATAAATCGGCAATCTGCATTGACGCTCATATAACGCCTCATACGGAGTCGTGCTAATGCTCGCTTGGTAGCTGTTGTCGTAAAAAAATTCTATCAGGGGCAGATGGTCGTCCCAATAGCCCCCAGAGTCAAGGACACAAGCTCGAAGCATATCTTCAAGTGTACGGATTGTCCTTTCTGATTGTCCATCAGTCTAAGGGTGGAAGGCAGTACTGAGGGACAGCTTCGTTCCCATGGCTTACTGAAAGCTACTCTAAAATCGAGAAGTGAACCTAAGGTCCATGTCGGACACCATTGTCACTGGAACTCCATGTAATCTGACTATTTTCCATATATACATTCTTGGCAACTTGTCCAAGGGATCGGTCATTCTGATGGCTAAGAAGTGGGAAGACTTGGTGAGCCGGTCAACAATTACCCAGATTGCGTCATGTCTTGCGCATGCCTTAGGTAATCCTATCACGAAGTCCATGATGATATGTTCCCACTTCCATTCCGAAATTGGTAAAGGCTGAAGTAGCCCGCCTGGGCGTTAATGTTCTGCCTTGACCTGCTGACATATCAAGCATTTAGACACAAGGTCAGCTATGTCCCTTTTCATCCCATTCCACCAAAATCGGGGTTGCATGCTTTGGTACATTTTGGTGCTTCTAGGATGTATGAAATACTTTGAGCTATGGGCCTCAGTCATAATGTCTC